CAGCAGGACTTCTTGACTGAAATCTGTTGCCTTTGCAAAGAGCTCTTTATATTTTGGGAAATTCAAAAAGTATAAAAAATGCACTCTTTTTCATTTATAGTCTAACTCCTGGTTCATCTTCCACACTACATCTTAAAATAAACTAAATACAGTTTAGACTAGAGTATGGCCTCTGTAGCGCAGACCCACGATGCAAAAGGACTTACCATGTGTGTTAGGGTCTGATCCAAAGCTCTGTGTTAGCCACCACCCTATTGCTGATTTCAGAAAGCTTTGTTCCAGTTCCTTTATTGAGAACACATGGACAAGGTGGACGTAAAACCTGACTTCAGCAATTCTGAGGTTTTGTCAGCCCTAGGCATTCAAAATGATGAGTCAGCTATTCCTATCCGCGGACACCGCTACCTAAAAAACCTAGGGAATCAGAATGGTTTGAGACATTTTTCTTTTGCCCTTTGCTGGATGTGGGTTTTCTTTAAGCCTTTGGGTTTCACGTGTTCAAGTTTTCTCTGTATCTGGGGGGGACTAGAAATTTTATCTTTCATTTAGAGGTGAAAAAGACCTGATTTTTCTTCGTGTGATCATGAGACTCCAGGAACCTGGACTTTAAGAAACACCATAAAGCACGCTGATTCCAAATCCTATAGTTTTATTGGGAATTATAAAAACCAGCTTTACTAAAATGGATGCTTTGGGACAGAGCTTCAGGACTTTTTTTTTAAACCTCCAAATCAGCAGTTATATTTCTAACAAAACTGCCCCTCCTCTAATTAGATGAAACGCAAAATGAGGGCAGAGAAGAGGGGAACCATATCTTTTTACCGCTCCGTTCTGTGGTTTTATAAGCAGTCTATTGGTTTGGACTGGTGACTGGATGATTTGTGTTAAAAACGAACGTGTCTGAACAGTACGTGACACTTCGAGCGGTTCTGAGGAGGTCGTGTCATTTGACGCGTTCGTGGCTCCTGTCCTCGGTCTGTTGTAATCCTGCTCTCTGCTGCATCCCTGTTGTGGCACGTGTGCAATAATTCTTTGCGATGGCTGGCGCTCGCCAGCGTGTGTATAAAAATGCAGGTGGCAGTGTTACTCTCCAGAGCAAAGGAACATCTGTCAGTATCCTAGGTGAGCTTACTGCTTCAGATGAATAAAACACAGACTGAAGGTGCCTCGGGCAGCTTACGCTCCAAATTAGATGTAGCCGTGAATGCTAGAAGATCATCTGTAGGACTTAAAGCTGGTTCCTTGTGGGTCTGATTTCCAGTTGGGATGCAGTGGCGGAGTCAATAAGGGGTAGATGCCAGGCGTGACCTGGGCTCCATCACTAGTTACGACCAACAGATAGCCCAGCCAGGGGCAGTGAGATGGATTACATATTCCTCACTTAAGAAAGAAAAAACGTAGGCCCTTAACATCTGCTGCAGTGAAATCATTGAGTGTTTTACCACGTTCTTCAATGGAAGCTGTTAGCCTTGCCAAATCGGGACTTGACAGAAAATGAGGTGCAGAAGACTCTTAGGAACTCCTTTAATTCCAGAAACTTTCACTGTGATGTGTTTAGTCAATGTGCACATGATGGCACCAGTACTCTGGCACTTCGTCTTCTGGGAAGTTGCGCGATGGGAATTAATGTTGAGGAGTCAGCGTGAAGGCTGAGTCTTCTATCTTACAAAGCTGTTGCTCAAAACTGGACTGAAGAACGTGCCTTTGGGGTTTATTTGTAAAAAATGAAAGGGAATGAGACACTTAACTGATCAGTCTTTCTTGTCTGGGCAGGATTTATATAGTTAGTAAATGAAAAGACATGTCTGATATGATATGGATAGCTATATTAAACCATCTGTATTCCATAGTCTGTTTTCCCTGTGAGAACAGATTTATGGACGGTCATATTCTTCTGTAAAAATAAAGTGAAAGAACCCGCCTTCCCAAAGAGCAGGTTCTGCAGAGGATCCGACCAGGTCCCTTGTGCCAGGGTGAACTTTATTTTTTTCCTTTGATTGCCCATATGTGAAAGAATGGAAAATTCTGACTGTTTGTGGCTGCAGTCACCAAAACTGGGGTGAATTCCTTTCCTGGAGAAAGTGGAAATCCTGTGTGGGAAGAGTGCTGTTCATAAGGTCACTGAGGGTGGGAAGGGAACCGGCGCCGGAACGCAGTGCAGCCTTGTGATTTCTCATGGATAAGGGGAGAAAGGGCTTGTCCATGGAAGTTACTCTGCCACTTCTTAGGAGCTCCATCACGGATAAGCAACTGGTATGAGGTGTTTAAGTGAAACCGTGCTTGCCATCAGTTGAATCCATTTTCTGTTGTTACAGATGCTAAAATAGGAAGTCTCATAGAGAAAATTCAGGGACTTCCACTTCTAGAAAACTATGCAGAAGCCAGCAAGTTGAAGTTCCTGTGGTGATGGAGAGGAGGGAGTGTTCTGTTGAGACTGTCTAGGAAAATAGTTTAGCATCACCACATGGCAAGATACAGCATTTGGACAGTATTTAATCCCACATTAAGAGTGGGATCAATTCTGATCACTTAAAAGGCAATTTTGTATATAATTAAAGGAATATTCTGTCCTTCTTGTCTCTAATGCTTGAAAATCCATCTTACTAGGCTCCATCTTCGAGCTAGTTATTTCTCTGTATACAGAAAAGCTTTTCAGACATGTAAGCAGCTGCACAGTCCTCAAATATGCTAGAAGGAAAGTTTTTTTTTTGGGGGGGGGGAGAGGGGGAATTGTAATTCATAAACCCTGGGCTTTTTCAATGTATAATTCATACCTCCTTTGAACAGTCCTCCTCACAGGAACTTAGAGATGGATTTAGATCAGCTTACTTCATTTTTAGAATACAATGGAAGAGCATTTACCCTGCATTCTTGCAGCCTTTTCTATAAATTAAAAAAAGATGCTGGGTCCAAATCGTCAGCTTTTTGTACTCCCTAGGAAACCTGTGCGAACAAGCCACAACAGGACAATTCTGCTTTTGCTAGCAATGCAAGCTGTATCCCCAGAAGCCCGTGAAGAGGCAGAGAGTCTGTACTGCACTTTTTTCCCCTGCAGCCAGGGGATAATCGCCACATCTTGGTTTGTGTGTTCAGGAGCTGATGGCTACAGATGGGGGCGACTGAAAAATCAGAAGTAGCGATCACGTGACAGGGCTTGGGTTGCAGAATTGGGCAAGCAGATGTTTTACGGCAATGCTGCATCAGTCGAAGTTGCAGCTTGCCAAATGGTCCTGCATTCGTGGTGCCTTGTGAGTGGCAGTGCCAGGACGGCAGTGTCCTGGGGATGCTCCACCCTCCTTCCTTGCAGAGGGTTACAGCATTATACAGCTCAGACTTGGAAAAAATTCGGAGAGTTTTTTTAGCCCGGGAAGCAACTTGCGCTTGGCATGGGGCAGTACGGACCACTTCCCTCTCTCTCCTCCCCCAGCCAAGCATCTCGTAGAATCAGAAACCACAGGGTGATTCAGCGGGGTGAAGGCTGTTTCCTGATGTGCTTCGGGAGTAGGCAGTTGCTCTCGGAGGCGTTGCCTGCTGCTTATGGCAAAGCTGCAGATCAGCCTTTAATTCCAAATAAACTGGGAGAGGCGGCAAGATGCGTCCACTGGGGTACCTGTGAGCTGGTACCACGTCCCTGGGGCACATGTTGGATACAACAGTAGTTATGGTTCACTGATTACATTTTCTGAAATATTACAGGGGGCTTTCTGAAATGGAAATTTATTTTTGGGGAGGAAGACTATGAAAAATGCAGTCTTGAAGGATAGCTTTGAAGTGCACTTCCAAAATTAAAGCGTGTCGATTCATGTTGAGAGAGGATTTTTTGACTGGCATTACCAGGCCCTACTATGAAATGGGTTAAAACTTGGGACTTTTAGCTCCGTAGAAACCAGCTGGTTACAAATGTGTGCCTCCCTGAGTCCCTTTGAGCAGCAGTAGCGATTACCCTTCACTGCATGAAGGTTGGATTCCTCTAGCAACTCTGCCTGATGTCTATTTTTGGCTTCCTCTCTAAAAACAGATGGTTGGGAGTGAGAACCTCCTCTTACGATTGCTGTTGTAAGCTGTGAAAGCAACAGATGGTTGCTAACACAGAGATCACAAACCTAGAGTTGAGCTCCAGTTTTTCTTCCAGTGGTGCAAGCTTTATTTTGTTCCCTGCCATCCACTTTATACCTTCTTAGAATAGAAAAGAAATGGGCTTATCCTTTTGTTTATAAGAGTATGTCAGTATGGTATAACTGGAGATGTACCATTAACATTTCATTCCTAAGCTGCAAAACACATAAGATCGTTGACTGCTTTGGTTCCATCAGACTACAAAACACCGGGCCTGGATTAGAACATAAGGATGACGCATCTTGCTCAGGGCCCCTGCACAGTGTTAATGACATACCACAATCTGGTTTCTCCTATTTGCTTAAAACACTATCCCTCATATTTGCAAGGAAAAAAAAAATCAAACAAACAGGTCTAGGTTAACATCTTCTTCACTACCTGTAACAGCAGATCTGAGAGGTGTGAGGTGTGTCCCTAAAGGTCTTGGTCAAGGTGTGGAAAGGTATTGACTGCAAAGGTAACTCCTCTAATTGCCTTTCATCTCTCCAAATTGGATAGAGGGACCCCAATACCATTCCAGAGCAGAAGGAGGCCTGTGGTCTCACATTGCTGAGAGAGGGGTAAGGACCTTTGTCCCCATCACTTTAACTTGGGCAGGGAGGAGCATGATACGGTCAAACAGGGGAGCTAGAGGGGCTCTGGTACTATGGGATCTCAGTATGCCTGCACCTCTTACTTCAGTTTTCTAATAAATATGAAGAAATAATGCTTTTTGTGGGTCAAGAAGGTTGTCCAGAAATTATTAGACTTCACTTTGTCTTAGTTTATTTTTTAAAAAAATATCCCACTGCACATAAGCTCTGTACATCAAAGGCTTTTGGAATGCTCTGCAAAGAAAGACTAATGCATTATTAAGCTAGCAAATCCCTATGGATGGGAAGATGCCAGTAGGGAGAGGATAAGAATTTGCTCAGGGCTACATATTGTGTCAGTGGCGGAGTTAGGAATACAGTTTGTGTGTTTTTTAACTATGTCTCTCAGCTGATACCTGTGGAATTGAGCAAAAGTATTAGGTTAAAGAAGTCCATTGGACAACTTGAAGTACGGCACTGCATTCTGCTTTCAGTCTGCGCAAACCCTTGAAATGAAGAAGAAAATAATGGTGCAGAATTGCAATACCGTTCTTCAATCTGCATACAGAAAGTTCCTCAAGACCTCTGTTCTTGAGCTGGTAAATGTCAGGAAAAGAAATAGCCAAATTTTGGACGTATTAAAACAAATCCACCTGAACATCCAAAAGACAGGGAAAATCAGTGATTCCATTTTCAAGTATAAGGCAGCAGAAAATCTCAGGGAGGCAGATTATTAGGTACTGTAGCATGGAAAAAGAGACCTAAAGGAGAGATTTTAAGGAGCTAAGACAAAGGCAATGCCAGGTGCATTAAATAAGTCTGCGGAATATCAAAACTAGGGTGAAATGAAAATTTTGAAGTATGACTTTCCATTCTCCCCTCTTAAAAACAAAACAAAACACCCAAACAGTCCTTCCCAATTTATAGTTGAGAAGCCAGATCAGGTCATTAGTTCCTCCATCTCCTCTCCGTTCCCTCATCTGTTCTGTACTGGCAGCTGCCCTGGGTTACCACAGAGATATTAGGTAAATGATGGGCAGTCCCGCTGCAATGTTGTATCTTTTATAGGGATCACAGCTCCACGTAACGTTAGTTAAGCCAACACACTTGCGTCCACTTTGTTTGAAGTTATTACAACTCTCATATTTTCAGCATGTTTTTCTATCTCTATTCGCCTGCTTCAGCAAACAGCAAACAGTTTTGTTTAAAGTCCAAAGTATGTTGGAGAATGAGCCACTTCACTATTATAGCCTGGAGGTTTTGAGACTCGTACTGCGTATTTCGATCCTTAGTGGCTTTCTTGCCCATCTTATTCGCATTTGTAAAATATTCCAGGTAAATTCTTTAAATATTTTTAATGGCTAAATACACATGCAGTGCCTCCTCCAGTTAGATTGGAAGTCTAATTGCTGCACATTGTGGTGTGTATGCACTCAAATTGGAATTTATGTCGACTGTCTAGTATAATTAGATTTTGCCATTGCATTTAATTTTAGAATAAATCACATTTATTTCCCTTACACTAGATTCAGGAAATAAATTCTAGTTGAAGCAATCAAGATTTTTCCAGGCTTCTCTAATATTCAGTCTAAATTCATTTGGTATTTCACATTCTTCCACTGAGCGCAGCAATTATTTAGGCTCAATACATCAGAGAAAGTTTTCAGGTTTGATTGCTATTTCTGAGGGGCTGCTGGGGGGAAGGAGGAGTCTTTAAGCACAGACGACCTACTAGATGCGGGTAACATTTAAGCCAGGGTCTCTCTTAGGAAGACCCAGGACCGGTCTAGTCATGTGGTGGGAGGCTTTATTAGAATTACCCGCCATTATTAGTATCAATATGAACCTAATTTTCACAGCACAGACAAGGGTTAAAGGAGAGCCTCACAGCACTGCCTTGTTTCAAGCAGCAGGACTGGTGGGTATAGCCAAATTCTGTGTTAATTTAAGTAAGCGTAAATGCAGTGAAGTCACTGCAGTGAATACCACGTACATCTTTGGCCCTGGTACATGATGTATCCAATCACACTGTACTTGCCTTCAGTTTAACTTCTTAATTACACAGGATGGACCCACAGCTTGGCCAGTGCAGATGGGACAGGGTATAAATCAAAAGGCATATAAATAGATGCAGGGGCAGGAACAGCATTCAGCAATGCACGCGCCTTACGAAGCGGTCACATAGCTCACTCCCAGATGACAGCTGATGAATACGTGGGGAAGTAAGGTGCGGTACCAAGATGTGGCTAAATGTGCAAGGAATTGTATCCAGTGGGATTTAAAAAAGATAACCTAAATATGGAAGTTTTGAAGTAAACCATGCAAATGTAACTTGGCTTTGAGATCAGAAAATGATTAGTATTTGCTATGAATAAAAGGTCTGTCTGTAATTTGAAAAGGATTAACTAAAGAGGTATTTTAAGGTCAATGGACTAACAGTAATTTCTGGTGACAGTGAAATGTTTTCTCCATTCCAGCATTTAATGTGAACAGTATTCTAGTTATTGTAACCCAGATGTGAGATTTTTAGAAAATATTGAGTGTAGAGAAGGCAGCTCTTTGGTGGTAGGAACAAATTGCGACTTTAAACTACATATTTTTTTAAGAAAAACTATTCAGTAATACCCCACATACGATTTAGTAGTGCTGAATTTGAGAGCCGCTGACGGATCTGCCTGTGTGTTCTTGCATGCAGATTTTATACTCCAGGGACCAGTGTAATTTGCAGTTGGGAAGCTGCTTTTAGGATTTTGGTCTCCACCCCAGAAAACAGAGTGGCAACCCTGAGCAGGACCTAACTATATTCAGAAGTAGAAGTGAAATGTAAAATACATGCTTAAAAAAAGAATTAAATGTTGAGTAGTTTCAAGTTGCTGTTGGGATGTTCTTTAAGTTATTTCTGCTTTCTATGATGAACATCCACAGATGTGGAAAAGACAGGGTTACTGTTTTTTTTTTCTTTTGAATCAGGATAGGAGCCTGACACTAGCAGGGAAACAACTGATCTTCAGAAAGGCCTGTCGAATGTTGTAGTTTCACAGTAGTGACAGTTATTGTGGTTGTGAAATTGGGAGCCCATGTTTACAGCTAAGCATGCTCTAGCTTTGTAGAGTATACAGGACTGGCAGTAGAGTGTACGATCAAACTGGCACATGAGAATACTGATTACAAATAAGAATATTGTGTAAATAGACACTGAAGAGTACTGGCTAATGGTCATCTCTTTGCTAGTGCAGAACCTCTTCCAGTGCTTGACTTTTCTCCATTTCATGATGAGGATAATGGCCCTCATGCCATAGCTGTTGACTTCCAAATGAAAAGATGGGTCTAGCAGAAACTGTTCTGAGGAAGTTCTCACATGTTTTCTGAAATTCTAGTGATGCCATCTTTAAAACTTAACAATTAATCAATGAAGGGCTTTTTGAGGGTGCAGCTATAGGTTAACAATCTGGTAATGTGACTGTTGTCAAGGAAACGAAAATTTAATTTTCTGGCTTGTTTCAAACATGGAGTTGAATTACATTTCTGTCTCTATATTTAATGAACAAATCGTTCCAATATTTGTGAGATTTAATTAAGATGGGGAGCTTACATGGGGAAGAGGGAGGCTGCAGTATCCACAGTAAACTGGTGTTTATTGTGGAAGAGAAGGCATAAACCCAGCATTTTCTTCACTGTCTCTGCAATGCCTGGGCTCAGTCTTAGTTATCTATGTTAAAAAAGAAAAAAAAGCCTAAGGTAGGAGTGGTAGTGCGTTGGTTCACTGCCATAGACCAAAAGAAGCCTTGCAGGGAGAAGCTGGTGCATGTTCCCTCCTGCTCTTAGCTAAAAAATATGGCAAAATCCACTTTCTCTCTTGCTAGAGAGAACTCTGTTTTACAATAGTGACATTGCTCCTAGGTACCTCTGTTGCCATGGTATTATATGCCCTGGTAGCAGGACTGGTGGGTTTAAATGCTGCTGCTCTAAGTAACCCAAATAATAATCTTTTCACACTTACTTCCCCCCAAAAAGGGCATTAATGTTCTCCTGATAGTGTTCTTGATCCTTAATTTCTGTTCCTTCCCACTCTTTGCTGGGCTTGCTTACAGAAAGCAGAGTCTGGACAAAAGAGGTCCCTTCTGATCCTTACTTCATCTGCCCTGATCACTAGCAACATGACAGTATGTTCGAACTATAAGCCTTTTTTTTTTTTCTTTAAGTGAAAAACTTTTTTAAGGGTAGTCATCTGTATGTTTTCGTAGAGAAGTAAGTTTCTATCAGTATTAACACACTTTAAAAAATATTTATATTCTCATATAGTTATCTTCATATGCAGATTTTGCTCTAACAGCCACACTAACTAACCTGGAATAGCTGTACACATTCAGAAAGTTTGCCTCAACAAAACTCCTGAAATATGAATACTGAATATAACTGTTAAAATTAACAAAATGCAAGCAACAATCTAATATTGCAGATAACAGAATTTTTCTTTCTCAGGAAGACTATGATCGTCTGAGACCTTTATCTTATCCTATGACCGATGTCTTCCTTATCTGCTTCTCAGTGGTAAACCCTGCTTCATTTCAAAATGTGAAGGAAGAGTGGGTACCAGAGTTGAAGGAATATGCACCTAATGTTCCCTTTTTGCTAGTAGGAACACAGGTATATCTGCTTCTGTTCTACTTTATTTAAACAATTCAGGTCATTGTATGGTGCCTTTTCTTTGGGCTGGAAGTTCAGGCTCGACAGGACCTGAGCAGCACCTTCTTCCAGCTTTGGAGGAACGACCCTAGCAAGTGGCAGAAAAACTTAGATCTGTGGTGTTCTCTAATGAGCTACCTCCAATTGGTTAAAATATATGCATTGTAAACAGGGTGGCAAGATTGCCTGCATCTCTCCATGTGACTTTCTGTAAAGACATGGGACTTATGGAATAAAATTGTCTGTTCATACCCATGTTACTGGAATTACTTGGTTCTACAACTATTGGCCATATCCAGTATTTGCTGAAGCAAAGGAGCAAGGGGACAGGTGAGACAGAGAGGAGGCCTGCATAGATAATAAGGAGCTCCTGGACAAACTCAAACACAAAAAGGAAGTCCACAGAGGGTGGGAGCAAAGGTGGGTAGCCTGGGAGGAGTACAGAGAAATTGTCCGAGCAGCCAGGGATCAGGTTAGGAAAGCTAAAGCCCTGACAGAGTTAAATCTGGCCAGGCACGTCAAGGGCAACAAAAAAATGTTCTATAGGTATGTTAGTGATAAAAGAAAGACTAGGGAAAGTGTGGGCCCTCTCCATATCGAAATGGAAGACCTGGTTACCTGGGATACGGAGAAGGCTGAGGTGCTCAATGCCCTTTTTGCCTCAGTCTTCACCAGCAAGTGCTCAAGCTGCACCGCCCAAGTCATAGAAGGCAAAGGCAGGCCCACTGTAGGAGATCAGATCTGAGACCATCTAAGGAACTTGAAGGTGCACAAGTCCATGGGACCTGAGGAGGTAAATCCGTGGGTCCTGAGGGGACTGGCAGACGAAGTTGCTAAGCCACTATCCATCATATTTGAGAAGTCATGGCAGCCTGATGAAATTCCCATTGACTGGAAAAAGGGAAAATAACCCCCATTTTTTAAACAGGAAAAAAGGAAGACCTGGGGAACTACAGGCCAGTCAGTCTCACTTCTGTGCCCGGCAAGATCATGGAGCAGATTGTCCTGGAACTATGCTAAGGCATATGGAAAATAAGGAGGTGATTGGTGACAGCCAACATGGCTTCACTAAAGGCAAATCGTGCCTGTCAAATTTGGTGGCCTTCTACAACAGGGTTACAGCATTGGCATATAAGGGAAGAGCAACTGATGTCATCTACCTGGACTTCTGCAAAGCATTTGACACTGTCCCGCACAACATTCTCATCTCTAAATTGGAAAGACGTGGATTTGGCAGATGGACCACTTGGTGGATAAGGAATTGGCTGGATGGTCACACTTAAAGAGTTGCAGTCAACATCTTGATGTCCAAGTGGACACCAGTGATGAGTGGCGTTCCTCAGGGGTTGGCATTGGGACCGGCGCTGTTTAACATCTTTGTCGGCAACATGGACAGCAGGGTTGAGTGCACCCTCAGCAAGTTTGCCCATGACACCAAGATGTGTGGTGTGGTCAACATGCTGGAGGGAAGGGATGCCACCCAGAGGGATCTTGACAGGCTTGAGAGGTGGGCCCATGCGAACCTCATGAAGTTCAACAAGGCCAAGTGCAAGGTCCTGCACATGGGTTGGGGCAATCCCAAGCACAAATAAAGGCTGGGCAGAGAAAGGATTGAGAGCAGCCTGAGGAGAAGGACTTGAGGGTGTTGGTTGATGAGAAGCTCAACATGACCCGGCAGTGTGCACTTGCAGCCCAGAAAGCCAACCATATCCTGGGCTACATCAAAAGAAGCGTTATCAACAGGTCCAGGGAGGTGATTCTCCCCCCTCTACTCTGCTCTCGTGAGGTCCCACCTGGAATACCGCGTTCAGCTCCAGGGCCCCCAGCATAAGAAGGACATGGACCTGTTGGAGTGAGTCCTTTTGTGAAGACAAGCTGACAGTTGGAGTTGTTCAGCCTGGAGAAGAGAAGAGAGCAGCCTGCCAGTACCCAAAGGGGGCCTAAAAGAAAGGTGGAGAGGGACTTTTTACAAGGGCATGTAGTGATAGGACAAGAAGGGGTAACAGCTTTAAACAGAAAGAGGGTAGATTTAGATTAGATCTAAGGAAGAAATTCTTCACTATGAGGGTGGTGAGGCACTGGAACAGGTTGCCCAGAGAAACTGGCTGCCACATCCCTGGAAGCATTCAAGGCCAGGTGGGACAAGGCTTTGAGCAACCTGGTCTGGTGGAAGGTGGGGAAGTGGGGTTAGAACTAGACAATCTTTAAGATCCCTTCCAACCATTCTATGATTCTATAAATTTCCTCTTGCTTCTTGCAGGCAGTGGATTGGGCTTCAATTACAAAGTGACCCACATGGTGGGTTTTATATTTGGGTTAATCTTTCTGCCACTGCTGGATATACCTTCTGGTATTCAGAGATGATCACATCTATTTGAAAGGCTGAATTACAGAATAAGCCTTTGTTCCTTCTGGATTAAAGGTAGTAGTTCACAGCTTAAATTTGCAGGGCTTTTGGATCAGGATGGGGCCACGATCTGAATCATGACATTACTCCACTTTTGTATATATAATACTCAAATTCTGCTTTAAAAAGAAAGTCTCATGTGACCTGCTTACTTTTGTTGAGAAAAAGTATTCCAACATGACTGCAATCTTTCTTGCTAGATTGATCTTCGTGATGACCCAAAAACTCTGGCAAGACTGAATGATATGAAAGAGAAGCCCCTGTCTGTGGAGCAAGGACAGAAGTTAGCAAAAGAGGTAAACGGGATACTCCTAAATGAAGCCAGTAGCAAAGAAGCAAAAAACCCTATTTCCAATTTACTTTTTCTTCCTTTACCACTTTGCCCATTTCTTTTACCAGTCAACATATGAAACCTTATGACTAATTACCAGTTAACAATATCTACTTACATTGTTGAATATAGCTGACAAGTAGACCTGTGTAATAGCACTTCCCTGTTAGTAATAGTTCTTTCTGTGTAGACACTCATAAAATCTACATAAGTGTTAGAGAGAATTAAAATCACAGAGTGGATGAGGTTGTAAGGGACCTCTCCTGCTCAAGCAAAATGTTGGGAGCATCTTTAAGAAATTATATGAGAATGCTATATTACCATTTTAACACATAATGGATAATGCTTATCAGGACACTTAAAGAGTCTTATTTTTGAAACATAAATTGGTTAAGTAATTCTGCAATTCTTTTTTGCTGTAGGACCCCACTGCCAATCCAAAAAGCTTATTAAATATGCTTCCTTTAAAAACCAAACCAACTTGAATACTTTTGAGATCTTTGGCCAAAAGACAAATCTTTTCTCCTACAGGGGGAGGCACATGCAGATAACTTTTCAGAACACAGCCAAACATTGTGATGTCACTATAGAAAAAAAAAAAAGCTGAAGTGCACAGATAAAACTGAACAGCTGAAACATACTGCTATTGAATTAACTTATTTTCTTGACAGATAGGAGCCTACTGCTATGTGGAGTGTTCAGCTTTAACACAGAAAGGACTGAAGACCGTTTTTGATGAAGCTATTATAGCCATTCTAACTCCAAAGAAACACACAGTGAAGAAGCGAATAGGCTCAAGATGCATAAACTGCTGTTTGATCACGTGAGATACATTTGACAATGGCCAGGCTTACTGTGAAATTCTACTGAATTTAAATACAGTGCATTAAGTACACAGCGAACTTGTTACAAGTTTGAAAGCTGAAACTATGATTCTGCCTTCTACAACCAGTGAAATCCAGAGGAATAAAATCAAACTCAACGAACTTGTAATAACAAGCCACCACATCTGTTACAAATATTTTATTCAGACTGGAAGGTACAATCTCTCAGGGTTACATAGTCTAGAGGAAGCAAAAACTGCACCGTGCTGAAACAGCATCTATGTGATTTTATTGAGTGGAGATGCTTGGCCTGAAATACTCTAAATGAATTTGGATAGTCTTCTGCTTTGACTATACATATACATATACATATATATATCTCAGAAAATCACCCCAACCCTTTTGCACAGTCTGTATGGAATCTGCACAAAGAAATACCTTGTCTCTCTTTGCTCCAGTTATCTGCTTTTGTATGTAAGCTGCTTCCAGTTCCAGTGTATCCAGAGAGGTGCAATAATCAGACCAGCCACATAGCCAAAGGTAGCCCCGAGGGAACAGGAAATGGGCCATACCTGAGGGGAGAACACAAGGTAAAAGCAGACAATGAAGAAAATGTTTGTGGTTTTTTGTACGTCATGAGCACAAATTCTCAGTGTAATCTAGGGACTGAAAGACAGTACAGTCTTATTCTACTTTAAAGTTTGATGTGCTTTCCTCAAAATGCCAAAAATGTAACAATCATTTTCGTGAACACTAAATGCTGTTGTACAGTTTTTAATTAATATGCATTAAAATATAACCAGGCTTCTGGCTATTGCAGACTTCAGTTCAATATTCCCAAAACTATGTGAAAAAACTTACAGTGTTTATATCCCCTGAAGCGTTCAGCTAACTTAACTTCCTATTCTGCTGCACACGTTTGGAAACCTAGATTTCTTGATGATTTCTCCCTTCCAATCTTCCATGGCATTTAAAACTTTTAGAGGTGCGTATAAACAAACTAATATTCAAATAAGGCTAGACACTGAGATGGATTGAGGGGTTTTCTTTTTTTTTTTTTTTCAGTTCTGTCTTCAAAAGTAGGCAAAAGTAGGCAAAGGGATGAATTTCCCTCTGGCCAGCAGTAGGGAGAGAACATCAATTTAGAAACCAACTGAACATCCTGCACCCAGTTCAGCAAACATAGTAAGCCAGTTATGTTAAAGAGCGCTTTAATTATAAGATCTATTTCTTAGTATAAGAACAGGGAACTGACTCAGTACATCTGATTGAATTTCACAAACCATCTAGTACTGAGGCAAAGAAGTAATGGGATTTTCCCCCCACCCCCCCTTTTTTTAAATTGGTATTGATTTGCAGGGAGGAGTGGCCAAAACAAAACTTGACCAGTCTGTCCTCAGATACAGCTTATATTAAAGACAACTACATGCTGCATTTGATGAAAGTCTCCACCAAGTTGATGATTAAAAATATTTATTGTAGAATAAACTGAATTCCCACCCCTCTTCAAAATCTTCCTTTGCAAGGACAATTTTGCACTTCCTGCTGTACAGTGCATGTTCCTGAAGGAAGTACAGACTGCGCTCTCCTATTCTTTTAATTTTTAAATTAAGGGGGATATTTCCATCTCCTATAGTACTTCAGACCAAGAAATGCACTAGACATTAAAGAAAATACCTACATCTCCATGTCCAGCCTTCTTTTCTAATCCATTTTGACTTGCAATTCATTAATATCAAGCGAACTTAGTCTTAATGGCACTGGTTCCTCCTTTCATTCATTTTCCTAGCTCTGATTCTTCTCTTTACTTCATTATCACTTGGAAAAACATATTTATTCACATCATGTTTAACCATGGGAATTTTAACTCAGAGTAAGAGCAATGTATTTTGTCCTCTGCTGTTTCATCTTCAGTCTCTTCAGCTGTTTCATCTTCACATTCCTTAGCATTTGCAGTTTTATATATTATTTGGAGGTCTTAAGGAGTGTAGCAAAGATGACTATAAACAAGGTGCCTTAGGTACTCTTTATTGACCTTGTTTCATTCTTCCATTTCTGGACATTCTGTCTCTACTTGTTTTTGTTGCTGACTATTTTGGCTGTTGCCTCTCAAACCAAAGACTTGCTTGTTTTCATTCATTTAACAGTGGTATTGTAGATCTTCTATAAAAAGCCTTGAGATGCTTTGGCATGGTAAGATATTATGTATATTTAAAACTCAGATGATTTTGTGGCCTTGGCTAAACTTACGCTTCAGGTGGATCTTTTCAACTATTAAATAGAATGTAATTAAGTTATTTCTAGCATTTTGCATATTTATACGTGTCTAAAGAACAAAACAATAAAAAAGTCCCTGCAACCCCAGCTGCTCACTCAGTAATTTTCAGTTGGAACAGGAGTCGTACTTTCTAATCCATTTATGAAGTCAAATACCACTCTAATATCCACAAATATATGGACAGAGGCTTCATAACTCAGTGGTCTTTTTACATCAAATTCTCTGAGCGATCAGTGATCCTCCGTTAAATTTTACCTACATTAGGTGAATCTGTAGTTGCCTAGTTGCTTTTCAGGAGTCTAGACAGATGTTGGCCTCAGAATTTTTCATGTTCCCTTAACTAGAAAGTCAATATCCCTGATGACACATTGACCCTGTAACTTTTGGTATTTTGTGTATAGCGGTCAATTGCTGGTACTATTAAAAGGATCTCTGATGATTGTAAGCATTTTACCTGACTGAACTGCAACTTGGAACATGGTTTTCCAATAGTAATGTAACTTTTTAATATTAATTATGCCTCTGTCTAAAGCATTCGATTTTTGTTTTGCTTTTTAAAAATCAGTGTTACCTTACAGAAGTTTCAGGCTGTCTCAACACATGAGCCTCTGACCTCTGAGATCCAAACCCTCACCAATGGCAGCTGGCAAAGGTAGGGGGCAAATGGAAGAAACCATAAAACACTGCATCTCACTGTCTATGAACGAGACAGAAAAGAAACATCCCTTCTACTGGCACAGAACAGAAGGTTACTAGGCTAGGTACTCACTCTTATTATGATGGTCAGATAGCCCAAAGTAGTTCTGAAGGCACTTTGATTGGCCTTCTGAAAACTCCCTAAGCACAGGAGTTAAAAGCCTGGACTTAGGAGCATTGCTGTCCTTACACTGTTTTCCCTAATGCTCAAGGCAGGGCAAGACCCCCGTAATGAACAGGTAATGATACTAGTCCTGCACCTTTTATTCTTGACTGCTGGCCTTCAGGCTACACATAGCCAGATGCACCCATGGGTATCTCTAAAGCAGCAAGTTATCAAAGACAGATTAAGATGTGGCTCTTAAGCACATCAGCTGCACTAAAATAACATCCCTTGCTCATCTTTTTTGTCCATCTATGAAAGTGGGTTGCTTTATTTTGTATTAGCTGCTGGCCTTGTTTTTTCAAGACCCAATCATTTTCTGCTGGACCTTTTAAAATTAATTTGACTTGCTTGATCAGTCTGCTTTTGCCCTGTGTTTCATATTATCTCAAACTTGGTTTTGCTTCCCTGACTTGGTATGAACTGCCTCTAAGTGATAAAAATCTAAGTAGCTAATATCCGCCTGCCTGTTCTAAGAGATTTCATTCCATTTTTTTAAAGTACGCAACTTGTAATACATCCCTCTCATCCCCCGAGAGCTATTCAGCTCAGTTTCTCCTACTTTATGCTCCCTTCTGCCATGAGGAAGCTGACATGTCCTACCCTAGTACTGACGTCATGTCTAGGCTGGGTCAGCAACAGGGGAATAAGATGTTAGGCAACGTTGCCTAACTGCCCTTTTTTGTTTTTTGAGGGGGAAGAAGGTTGATCTGGAGAGAAAAGTGTGAGGGGTGCAGGACACAGGACAGAACGTTCTTCAGGAAACTGTCATGAAATGCCTTGTCTGCCCCAACAGCTGGGAAGCATCAGCTACTATCCTCCTCACAGCCTAACACAAGAAGAGTCAGTTTACATATCAAATGCATGCGGAAAAGGCAGTTTTAACAACCTGGATATGATTACTAGGAATCTGAACAGCAGCTTGACAAAAACGAATCTCCACCTACATGCTTAACAAGCACAAAAATTGCATTTTAAGGGACAGAGCATGAGCCAGTGGCTAATGCAAAACTATTTGTTGAAATTTTCTTTTTGCCTTTTCTTTTCATCTGGCAGCAGTAATAGGACTTAACAGATTTCTTTAGGCTAGCTAAATAGACACTGCAGAACTGCAAGGTTTCTAGTATATATTAGAACTCATTTTAAGAATAAGGACTCAAAAGAGGAATTGCCAACCTTTCAGGACACAAATTAGCTAGTTTCCTCAGCGCTCCTGAGAGCACCTATGAACTGATGTGAGAATGCTTAACATATTGCATGGAGAGCAGAGCATGTTGCAGGATCCCAGCAAGGTATGTAGCTCTGCTGTACTATGCATGTTGCTAATTAAACTAGAATTCTGACTGCATGACAGTTTTGTCGTCTATTACAAGTCTGCAACTTGCATCCCATGCAATGGGAATTACATAAACATTAATAAGGACATAAAGGCCAGATTCTTACAGGCCAGAGCAGCAACACCCTAATAAGGTTTTTAAAGATACTATAAAGTAAGCAGCTGACAGCTGGAACTTATAACCATAGAAATGCAAATACAGTGGAGCAATCTACTGTACTTTTTTTTTTTTAGGAAAGTGGTCCCATTCTTTCAATGAGTGCTTTTCTCATATTCCTAAACTCTACTTTTTGTATGCTTACCATTTCAAAAGATCCGTTTCTGACTGTCAATTAGAAAGCTGTGTAATAATCTGTTTCATTTAAAACTGAATAAATGAGCACAATTACTTTCCCTCCCTGTTTCTAACATGCCTTAAATTCCTGATTGTTTAGTTGGTACTGTCTTAAAAATTTCAGTACACGCCTTTAATCTATTTTGGTTGCATGCACATGTTAACTAAAGTGTCTTAGCACATTGTACAGAATGTGTGTGTTGACAAGCACATGTCAAGGAGAAGAAAGTGTGAGGTTTTTTTCAGGCTGGCATTTGTAACTAGAAGTTGGTTTTGTGGATTTGTGTTCTAAACTTACAGCAAGCGTAACTGCCTTTGATCTCACCATTAAGGTTTACATTAGGAAAACATATCATTAAATAAAAAATGATAACCACACTAAAGTGGAACAAGCTTCTACCTCTCTTTAAAAAAACCTCAGACACCAGATATTATCCCTTCTACTCACATAAAGAAACTTCTTTACAACACTTTCACAGTAGGTAGTAGATCCAAAAGCAAATACAAGAAGGAAACTCTCCAAGCTGTGTTAAGAATAACAAACTAGTGTGAAAGTTTACAGTCCTATTTCAGCTTACTCGAGTAACCACCAAGAATGGTACCCAGGATTCTCCAGATTATTTTTCAGGTTACAAATGTCCAAGAGGTATCCAGGCTAATACTGACAGTCATATTGGCTAAATTACATGGCAGTCAATCAACTCATTTGAGTTACGTCATCACTACCTATTATGTTTGCGGTATCCAGTATAAAGTGGGAATACA